TTCTTGGAGTGGTCCCCTGGCTAAAATGATTGCCCACCCCTGCACTACACTGACTCTCCTGGCCCAGCCGCACAGGGTTTCCCACCGGGTGTCCGAACACGGCATTTCCTGCAACCTTGGGCTACCTGCTGCATCTCCGGAGCCCACGTCTGGCGCTCTTCCATCGGGGTGCACCTTGCAGGCAGCTCTGCCTCCCACCAGCCAGGCCAGGGCCAGGGTCAGGGCCAGGGCCACGGCCAGGGCCAGGGCCAGGACATGGCAGTCAGGTTCCTGGGAGGCCTTAAGATACTTTACCCCCAAGTGCGGGCCCCCGTCCTGCACTGGGCCCGGAACCTGGTCCTGTCCAGGCTAACTGTCTCCTGCTCCCTTTCCCACCAGTCCTGGAAGGTCACTTTCCTGGTGGCTGTTCTGTCGGCAAGACGGGGCTCAGAGATAAAGCCCTGAACCTCAGAAGCTTTTTGTAAAGATAAGATCCCGTTGCAGCCCCGTCCAGCCTCCCTGATGCAGGCGCTCCCTTCCGGCCATGTGAACTGGCATGTTCTTGCCAATGGTCTGTCCTGGCTGCACCCAACAGCTGAGGAGTGGTGCCCGCACATGCCAGACGTCCAGAGAGCCTTGGCCTTGGAGTGTAGCAGGCCAGGCCGGAAATCAACCCATCTTCCCAGCACTCCAGCGTGAAGCCCCGTTATGAGCTGGCAAAGGTCCCACCGCGGCTGCTTGTCAGAGCCCCTTTGACGGGAGCACAGGCGTCTTCGGCACCCTCCTGGCACACATCTCGATCTAGGACGCATGTCGAGCTGTGACACGGCCCTCTTGGTCTGCACGTTGCTGTCCCAGCAGGCCGGAGACAGCGCTGGGGCTGGCAGGGCCGTGAATCTCCGACCCACCTCCACGGGAGCTGCTTGGAGTCACCCAGTACAGGATGGACATGAGCTCTCCCTGTTCTTGGGTCTGTCCCACACCTGCCCCGCTGCTGGCGTTTCCAGCAAAAGGGAACTGAGGGTGGGAGAAAGACGAGACCCCTTCTTAGGTGGGGTACCTAAGGCCCAGGGGCTGGATGCCTCTCCTGGCTTGCCTGGATCTGGCTCCCGAGGCTTGGGGCCCCCCCCAGCACTGGGGAGCCCCCACTGGTGCTCTAGTTCTCCCACCAGTCCCCCTTGGAGCTGGAGCACACGTCTGCTAGTCTGTGCTCCCCTAGGCTCTGGTGTGGGAGGGGATGGGGGAGCGTCTTTTTGCTTCTCAGTCGGGGGCCACGTCAGTGAAGGCTTGGGGGGGGTTCTGCTTCTCACTTGTGTGTGGCCCCCGACTGGTTTTTTGGTGGGTCAGCGGCCCCGAGCCAAAAAAAGGTGTCCTTACACCAGGCCATGCAAGCAGCACTCCACAGGGTGCCCGAGCGAGGTCCTCCACAGAAGCCCCCAGCGCCGGTGCCCGCGGCGAGCACAAAGCACCGAGCGGGGGATGACGCGAGCGGCACATCTCGAAGACGCCAGTTACTGAACAAGCACCTGTCCTTTCTAGGATCTCAGCGCCCAGGGAGAGCAGCAGCAACCCCTCTGCTCACGAACCCCAAGTAACACTCCCTTCGTTTAATGCATCGATTCCATCTCAGTGCTAGCGCAGCTCGAAGCCTTCGCTTTTTATCCCTGGAACTGTGAAGGGAGCTTTATTCAGCTTAGTCCTGACGAGCATTGCCAGCACTGTACCTTCCAATTTCCAGCCCAACGCAGCGGGACACGCATCCCAAGCCCAAACTGACCCCGGTGAACATGAAATGCGTCATTCACCATTTTCTAATATCATAAAACATGTGAAAAGCAAGCGTCTAAAGAGATGCAGGGACAGCCATAGACTTGCTCACAGCGATTCTGGTAGATCGGGCGCATCGTCCGGCTTAGCAAGCCCAGGGGGGTGTCACGGATGCAGTTAGCTGCAAATCAACGTGTTTGAAGGGTTTCCGTCCGGCGAGTCTTCACTGTCCTTTAGAAAACGACTGGAAAAGTAAAAACCCGCACAGCCTCGGCTGGCATTGATACAGCAGAAGTGCCAGGGTGTGGGGGAGTTCCACGGTGGTCCTTGTGCCCGTAGCTGTTGAGTGGGCTTCCCTGCAGTTCCTGGAAGGAGTGAGGGAGATTTGGGTGCCCTGCCACATGGGGACCACCAGGCCAGCTTGTCTATAGCTGACCCTCCTCTCCTCCTGCTCCATTCCTACAGCTGCTGGCTCCGAGTGGACAATTACTTCATCTGGAGCTTCATTGGCCCCGTCTCCTTCATCATCGTGGTGAGTCCGGAGGTGCTATGCGGGGAGCGCAGGGGTACCCATCACCCACAGTGTGACAGGCTGCTCCCCCCGGGAAGGGATCAGGCTTGTTATCCCCACGGCCAAGACAGGGATTAAACCCAGGAGTCCTGATTCCCCCCTCCCACCTCTGTAACCACTAGACATCACTCCCCTCCTAGAGCCAGGGTTAGAACCCACGAGTTCCAGCCTCTCCTGCCAGTTCTGACCACTGGCTGCTCCTGCAGCAGGGGGCGCTTCCCCTAAGTCTGACCCCAGCCCCCCAGCTCAGAGCCCTTAGTCCCATTGCCCTGGGTCTGGGCTGTGTCTGGCTTGAGCCCCTCCCCCCAGCCCCGATGGGGAATAAGTGGCCAGCGATGTATCCCGGCTCATGGAAATGGTCTCAGACCGACAGCACAAGAAACCCTCCTGCACCCTCCCAATGCGAGGGGAGCAGAGACAGCCCCTCCCAATGTGAGGCATGGGGGAATTGCACGCGTAGGGGGCAGGAAGCCTCGTACCAGCAGGGGGGAATGTGGGAGGGGGCGGAGGGGCGAGTGGACTGCAGAGCTCGGGTCTCACAGTTCCCCCGCCCCCAGGTCAACCTGCTCTTCCTCATGATCACGCTGCACAAGATGAGCCGCAGCACGGCCGTGCTCAAGCCCGACTCCAGCCGCCTGGACAACATCAAGTGAGTGAGGCCGGCCAGTGGGCGCCGGGCCCATGGGAGGCATCAGGGGCACACTGCCCTGGCCACAGCCCCAGGGTGCCATCTCAGCACTGGGGGAGGAACCCTGTGTAAACAGCCCCCGTGCCCCACCCCAGAGGTGGCTGCATCTCAGCGCCGGGTGAAGTGTGTGGAAGATGTCCTGGGTCACCCTCTGTGTCTCTCCCATGCAGGTCCTGGGCCCTGGGCGCCGTTGCTCTCCTCTTCCTTTTGGGACTCACCTGGGCCTTCGGCCTCCTCTTCATCAACAAGGAGTCCATCGTCATGGCCTATCTCTTCACCACCTTCAACGCCTTCCAGGGCATGTTCATCTTTGTCTTCCACTGTGCCCTGCAGAAGAAGGTCAGGCACAGCCCTCGGAGCTGGGGGGCAGGGCAGGTGTAGCTGGGGGCTGTGGGCTGGGAGTGAGGGGCACTGGCAGAGCTGGGGGGCAGGGCAGGTGTAGCTGGGGGCTGTGGGCTGGGAGTGAGGGGCACTGGCAGAGCTGGGGGGCAGGGCAGGTGTAGCTGGGGGCTGTGGGCTGGGAGTGAGGGGCACTGGCAGAGCTGGGGGGCAGGGCAGGTGTAGCTGGGGGCTGTGGGCTGGGAGTGAGGGGCACTGGCAGAGCTGGGGGGCAGGGCAGGTGTAGCTGGGGGCTGTGGGCTGGGAGTGAGGGGCACTGGCAGAGCTGGGGGGCAGGGCAGGTGTAGCTGGGGGCTGTGGGCTGGGAGTGAGGGGCACTGGCAGAGCTGGGGGGCAGGGCAGGTGTAGCTGGGGGCTGTGGGCTAGAGTGAGGGGCACCGGCAGAGCTGGGTGTGGGGGGGCCCAGGGCTAGCAGGGGCTGTGTGTTGGGGTTGGGGGGCACTGGCAGAGCTGGGGGGAGCCCCAGGCTGAGGTAGCAGAGGGTCTCCCGGCTCAGTGCACTAACCCAGGTCATGCCCCCAGGTGCACAGGGAGTTCAGTAAATGCCTACGTCACGCGTCCTGCTGCCTGCGACGGGTGGGGGAACAGAGCCCTCCCTGGGCACGGGTGGGGGGACAGAGCCCTCCCTGGATACGGGTGGGGGAACAGAGCCCTCCCTGGGCACGGGTGGGGGGACAGAGCCCTCCCTGGATACGGGTGGGGGAACAGAGCCCTCCCTGGGCACGGGTGGGGGGACAGAGCCCTCCCTGGATACGGGTGGGGGAACAGAGCCCTCCCTGGGCACGGGTGGGGGGACAGAGCCCTCCCTGGATACGGGTGGGGGAACAGAGCCCTCCCTGGGCACGGGTGGGGGGACAGAGCCCTCCCTGGATACGGGTGGGGGAACAGAGCCCTCCCTGGGCACGGGTGGGGGGACAGAGCCCTCCCTGGATACGGGTGGGGGAACAGAGCCCTCCCTGGGCACGGGTGGGGGGACAGAGCCCTCCCTGGATACGGGTGGGGGAACAGAGCCCTCCCTGGGCACGGGTGGGGGGACAGAGCCCTCCCTGGATACGGGTGGGGGAACAGAGCCCTCCCTGGGCACGGGTGGGGGGACAGAGCCCTCCCTGGATACGGGTGGGGGAACAGAGCCCTCCCTGGGCACGGGTGGGGGGACAGAGCCCTCCCTGGATACGGGTGGGGGAACAGAGCCCTCCCTGGGCACGGGTGGGGGGACAGAGCCCTCCCTGGATACGGGTGGGGGAACAGAGCCCTCCCTGGGCACGGGTGGGGGGACAGAGCCCTCCCTGGATACGGGTGGGGGAACAGAGCCCTCCCTGGGCACGGGTGGGGGGACAGAGCCCTCCCTGGATACGGGTGGGGGAACAGAGCCCTCCCTGGGCACGGGTGGGGGGACAGAGCCCTCCCTGGATACGGGTGGGGGAACAGAGCCCTCCCTGGGCACGGGTGGGGGGACAGAGCCCTCCCTGGATACGGGTGGGGGAACAGAGCCCTCCCTGGGCACGGGTGGGGGGACAGAGCCCTCCCTGGATACGGGTGGGGGAACAGAGCCCTCCCTGGGCACGGGTGGGGGGACAGAGCCCTCCCTGGATACGGGTGGGGGAACAGAGCCCTCCCTGGGCACGGGTGGGGGGACAGAGCCCTCCCTGGATACGGGTGGGGGAACAGAGCCCTCCCTGGGCACGGGTGGGGGGACAGAGCCCTCCCTGGATACGGGTGGGGGAACAGAGCCCTCCCTGGGCACGGGTGGGGGGACAGAGCCCTCCCTGGATACGGGTGGGGGAACAGAGCCCTCCTCAGCCTCTGGACTCCCTCTCTTGCTGGCATGGGATCCCAGCGCAGCACAGCCGGCCCTGCCCAGCTTGGCGTGCGTGCTGGTGGGGGAGATACACTCCCCATTATCCCTCAGGGTGGGGGGACACGGGGTGCCCTGCAGAGGTGCTGACACACCCACCTCTGCTGCTTCTGCAGGGACCATGGGGAACCACCTGCTGACCAACCCGGTGCTGCAGACACGAGGTGGCACCAGCCCCTACAACACCCTCATTGCCGAGTCCGTGGGCTTCAACCCCTCCTCGCCCCCCGTCTTCAACTCCCCAGGTAAGACCTCCCCATCACTCCTCGTCCTCCCCCAGGGTGAGAGCACACCCCACCGTCCCTAACGGCCCCCAGTCTGGGGACACCGCTGGAGGGAACCCATCCTCTGGGATTCCATTTTCCTTCCTGAGGGATGTCCAGTATTTTGGGGGAGCCCTGTAGGGGGTGTGGTGGGGTCCCCTTAAATCTTCTGCCAAAGAAGGGGGTTCTTGAGTCTTGCATCTTTTCAGTAGGGGGCGCTGTAGGGAGCGGGATGGTTACGCTGGCTGTGGGGTGAGCTCCAGGCTGCTCCAGCCCGAGCGTCTCCCAGCAGGGGGCGCTGTGGGGAGCGGGATGGTTGCACTGGCTGTGGGGTGAGCTCCAGGCAGCTCCAGCCCCAGCGTCTCCCAGCAGAGGGTGCTGTGGAGAGTGAGATAAGAGCACTGGCTGTGGGGTGCGCCCCAGGCCACTCCAGCCCCAGCGTCTCCCAGGAGGGGGCGCTGTAGGGATCGGGATAGGATAACTGGCTGTGGGGTGAGCTCCAGGCAGCTCCAGCCCCAGCATATCCCAGCAGGGGGCGCTGTGGGGAGCAGGATGGTTATGCTGGCTGTGGGGTGAGCTCCAGGCTGCTCCAGCCCCAGCATATCCCAGCAGGGGGCGCTGTGGGGAGCAGGATGGTTATGCTGGCTGTGGGGTGAGCTCCAGGCTGCTCCAGCCCCAGAGCCTCCCAGCAGGAGGCGTCGTAGGGAAGCACAGAGAAGTCCATGGGGAGAGGGTCAGAGTTCACTTTGGGGGTGCTGCCCCCTGCCTGCCCTATAACCTTCTCTCTCTTGTCTCCCCCTCTCCACGTGCTGGCGCCACCTTCAGGGAGCTTCCGAGAGTCCAGTACGTCCCTCCTTTCCAGTTCCATTTCGCAGTAATGTTTCCTTCATTGCTAGTTTGACTGGCAGGCTGGGGGTGGGGCGCAGCCAGGACACGATGGTGCCGGCAGCCAGGAGCTGGCATGGAGACTGGCCTGTCCAGCAGGGGGCACTGTCGGGAGCAGGGCGGGGCGCTGGCTGTGGAGGGAGCTCCCAGCTACTCCAGTCCCTGCCTCTCCCAGCAGGGGGCGCTGTGGCCAGTTCTAGACTGGAGAGCAACTCTTGCATTCACTGCCTTGGGCAACAGAGGGTGATAGAAGCTGAGCAGTTGTCACTGGGACCGTGTCTTAGTGGCCTGTGGGACAGCATCTGTATTGCCCTCCTGCTGCGCTCAATTGCACCCATGTGCCCCTTAGTCCAATATCACCCTCCTGATGAGCCAGAGGGACCCTGGTCCCTATAGTCCCATACTGCTCTCCTGCTGCTCCATTTAGTCCTCTGGTCCCTGTAACCCTGTATTGTCCTCTTGTGGAGCCATATGGACCCCTGGTCCCTGTAGTCCCATATCGCCCTCCTGCGGAGCCACACAGACCTCTGGTCGCTATAGTCCTTATCACCCTCCTGCTGGCGCCCTCCTCATGTAATGCCCATCTGCTGAGCCAGATCAGACCCCATGGTTTCATATCACCCTCCTGCTGGGCCATTTTGGTCTGTACAGTCCCGTATCTGACCAGCTGTCAGAACCTGATGTTTCAGAGCAAGGCGCCCTGTCCCCCATGATGCTCTAGGAGCAGGGAGGGGGGCTCCCCAGCTCGGGAGGTGCCCCCCCAGATCCCACCGTTTTGAGGCTGGAGCAGGGGGCGAGAGGGGCGTTCTCTCAGATGCTCACTGGGCTGGTTACAGCTGGAGAGTGGCTGTTATGTGGGTTGCACAGAGGCCCGCTGCTTCCCAGGAGGTGGGGCTAATGAGGGCAGCCAGAGTGAGCAGCTGGTGGAACCCCCTAAGTGACAGCTCGGGAGGTGCCCCCCCAGATCCCACCGTTTTGAGGCTGGAGCAGGGGGCGAGAGGGGCGTTCTCTCAGATGCTCACTGGGCTGGTTACAGCTGGAGAGTGGCTGTTATGTGGGTTGCACAGAGGCCCGCTGCTTCCCAGGAGGTGGGGCTAATGAGGGCAGCCAGAGTGAGCAGCTGGTGGAACCCCCTAAGTGACATATCAGTGATTGGCAGTTGCCCAAACCCCACCTCCTTCCTCCCCCACTAACTCCGCCTCTCTCTCT